TATAGGACGATACAGGGGTCCAATAGAGTATTGGTTAAAATGTTAAGATTTAATATTCGCTTTTAAGTTTTATTACGAAAAAATAAAAAAGAATGTGTATTCAGTACATTTTCGACTGTCTTAAGATTTAGACATTTTTCGAATTGTGGTGGGATGTTGGGGAGCGTACTCACCCACTCATTTTAAAATAACGCATTATTAACATGTGGACTTTACATAATGTATTTAATCAATCAATCAATCAATTTTATTTTCTGAATTTGTATTCCTATACCTCATAAAAGTATGGATGTCATAAAGTTTCCAAAAAGTGTTTTTAATCTAATGAAATTTATAATTAATTAGGCCTAACTTAACACCAAAATGATGCCAAAATGAAAATAGCTGTAATGCAAATGTATTTCTCACTAGTTAAATCTCTTTTCTTTCAGTTTCTCTGGTAAAATCTATACCGATTCATCAATAAGTGCAAAGTCGATGTGCAGATGTGCATCGGAACACGATGTGTATTAAATTGCCGGAACACAAGATGCTATCAATAGCCAGATTTATATGGTCTTAATTCTACAAATAATCGCTCGAGGATATTTATTAGGATTTATATTACTGGATCGCCGGAATTGAATAAAATTTGCCAATTATATTTCTTATACAACGAACAAGTAATTCTCGAACGATATTACATACCTAAATATAATTAAGCATAAGTATTATATATATACAGGTTTATATTATATAAAACTATAATCTTTATATTCAATTTATATTACATTTATGTAGTTCTTGTGTAAAATTTCCGAGTATGTTAGAAACAAAAGTAAACTGTATTGTAATTTATAATGCATCATTGTGTGTACTTCCTTTGTCGTAATTACATTAATAATAATATTATATATTTCATGATTATTAATCAGTATATAAGCGAATAAAATATATTATAATCACTTCGATTCGAATATAGCACTATTACAGCCTACTATATCTTATAAACACTCTTTCCAAATATATTCACATGACGCCAACAAATTACGAAACTTTTCAGAGAAAGGTACTGTCGAATTTTACAAACAGGAAATGACGTCGCTAGGCTACAGCCCATGCATATTCAGTGGGTGTCGACTCACGAAATATCCTCCCACCACACCTCCACATCAAAACAGATTGCGCCCTTACTGGGTATGACATTAAACTCCATTGAGTCGACACCTGACCCAGAGTATGTCTTAGTGACTGCTGATGAGGCGGGAGTGCATAATATTTTTTTAGAAACATCGGGACAATGTGAACACAAGCTGAAGTAAAATGAATTGTTAAATTGACAATGTGAACACATACAGAAAATTAACTAAAAATCAGAAGTCATCATCATCTTAATAATAATCATCTGCACCACCATCATCACCTTTATCAGGGGCGCGTGGAAATTTTTTTTCTTTTTTTAATCGTGAACATTGTTCGATTGTCATTTTTTTCACGAAAAAACGATCATAGGCCCCTATTTTTGTTTAAAAAAAATTAATATAGTAAATATTTCCATATGACACGGATCTGTGCCAAAATCGACGAAAAAGTTGTTTTTATTTGATCTTTTAAACTTACAAAAGCAACTTTTTGTTCTTTATGTTATGTTTCACCTAAGGATCATACTAACGTGTTCTGTGGCACTTAACGGACCTTGTGAATGGAGAAATGACCAAAAAACAACTAGGGTAAATAGCTGTTTTTGTCGAAATTGGAGGATTATTTTACCCTGCTGTTTTATGGCTGTTTTGTGTTCTGCACTTTAGGGACATACGGTCGCGTTCTGTGGCACCATAAGGACTGGAAGCATCACCACAAAACAGCTTTGAAAAAGTAACTCCGTTTTAGTTTTCAGTTTTAGCATGTTCAACATCCAGAGAGCGGGTGTTTACGTTCTGGAGACCACTACGAGTGAATACCATGTTTGTAAAAGTGTGTTTCTGTTCTTTAGTATTCAAGTTTTCGCTCTTCGTACGCTGGTCACTTAAATGCACGATAGAGTTACTTGCTCGGCCCCAGCCAACTGAACGGAGGGAGGAAGCAGTGCGACCCCTAAGCTAGCTATAGATGTGCATAAGAGACAGATATGATGCCGCAAGGCTAAGTACTCAACCTCGCCAAGGCTCGGGCCTTCGCCAAGACCCGGGCCCAGACTCAGCGTAGGGTTACCGGCGTATAACCGACAAGAAGCCTCGTCGACCCCGGAACCCGTCAGGGAGAGAGTCAGGTGATTACATTTGGCATGTGATTAGAATATATTTGGTTCAATTGTACGTATAGTATTGGTGTTATTACCTGCAGAAGCAATCAACGAGAATACATTATGGCCTATTTATTGTATATATATATTTTTTTGCCTTATTTTTAAAAATAATTTTTAGTGATTTTAATGAACATTTAGTATTATCTTAAAGTACTTTATATTTCATATAAAAATAAAGGCTACTAAAATATGCAAATGATGAATATAAAACAATTGGAAATGTCTAGAGGCGTTTCTATCTAAACTTCAAACCAAATGAAAAGCGAGACTTTGAATAATCTATGTGCCACCAGAACGCAAAGATTTGAAATGTGTGAGTACACCAGTTTGTTGGGGGATCGGTAGGGCAGGGCCCGGGGTCCAGAGGCGGAGCCCTAGGATCTGAGCATTTTAAGCTTTTTTTTGGTATTGTCATCAAGGAGCGTTTGTTGACAATACTTTTTACAAAAATATTTTTAATAAAGACAAAACAATTTGAATTTCAATGTAGGGCCTACATTATGTCTAATTTGAGCACCTGAACTATATACACAAACATTTCATTACTTATACAAACAAAAAATGAATAGGCATACTGATTAATGTTTAGTAGCGCGTCAGTGAATTAAGTATTCACGTAAATATTATTTAATTACTAAAGTTTAAATGACCGTTTTTATATTTTTAATAAAACATGGGTCTATTTTTAACAAAATGGGTACACATTATTTGAATTTACGCGTAAAGTGGGTCCACAATGATATTGTTCCGCATTGTTTGAAAATCCTGGCTACGGCATTGTTTACTGTATAACGGTGATAGAGGTACTATTTCCTCAAATTTTCGCACCTCAGACCCAAACATGGTAGGTCTAAGGTGGGTTTCGACTCACGAAATATCCTCCCACCCCACCTCCACATTTCAAAACAGTTTGCGCCCTTACTGGGTATGACATTAAACACCATCCAGTCGACACCTGACACAGAGTATGTCGTATGAGGCGGGAGTGCATAAGTTTCTTTTTAGGATGTGATCTGGTTTTACATGTCCATTTTTCGTGATTATGACTATTTGGATAAAGAATGTTTTGAGCAGTGGTAGATTGAAGGCCCCCTCCCCCCTATTTTTTTTTAATGGAAAAATATATATATATATATCTCCTATCCAAATTTAAGTCTGAGAGTGTAATTTCCGCCATCTAGAGGTGCCCTAATCATAAATGTTCTTACCTCAGCCCCAACCATGGTGGGGCTGAGGTGGGTGGTTCCTCAATCTGTGAAAGTCCCTTCCTGGGCCACCTCTCTATTAAATTCCTAGATCCCCTACTGTTGAGTTTTATATAATTATTGTTAGGCTTACTCTCTAAATGAAAATTCATTCTTTCACATTAAGAGAGTACTAATATTATTTATGGTGCATTTATTGCAATTTTCATTTTATCATTTCAAAGTGCGTTACTTTTCAGGGGCCTCCCCTGGAACCCCTCCCCCACGGGATCCTATGTACCTCGAATAACGGCTGCCCTCCCCCCACCTTTCAAAATCCTGGCTATGTCCCTGCGTGACTGCATTAATAATATTATATATTTCATGATTATTAATCAGTATATAATCGAATTAAATATATTATAATCACTTCGATTCGAATATAGCACTATTACAGGCTATTATATCTTATAAACACTTTTTCCAAATATATGCACATGACGCCAACAAATTATGAAACTTTTCAGAGAGCAAGGTGCTGTCGAATTTTACAAAACAGGAAATGACGTCGGTTGCTAGGCTACAGCTAAAGCATATTCAGTAACACCTGACAATAAAAACTTTTAGCTCAGTTTTGACAAAATCGACCAAAAAAATTTATTGTTATCTTCTAATTAGAACAGGTGCCACTGAATATTCATTATTATGCATGAACAATGCAAAAAAAAATCATTTTCCGGTTTTATGTTTTTGTTGAGGGCCTCCTCCAAAGTATTGCTAGTTTAATAGATAAAGTTGCACATATTGATGAAGCAATTCTTCACTTTTGGTTTAAGCTTATAAGCTTATTACAAAAAAAAACAAAAACGACCAAAATGATTTTATTGTCAGTCTAATTAGAACAGGGGGCACTGAAAACAGGAAATGACGTCGGTTGCTAGGCTACAGCTAAAGCATATTCAGTAACACCTGACAATAAAAACTTTTAGCTCAGTTTTGACAAAATCGACCAAAAAAATTTATTGTTATCTAATTAGAACAGGTGCCACTGAATATTCATTATTATGCATGAACAATGCAAACAAAATCATTTTCCGGTTTTATGTTTTTGTTGAGGGCCTCCTCCAAAGTATTGCTAGTTTAATAGATAAAGTTGCACATATTGATGAAGCAATTCTTCACTTTTAGTTTAAGCTTATAAGCTTATTACAAAAAAAAACAAAAACGACCAAAATGATTTTATTGTCAGTCTAATTAGAACAGGGGGCACTGAATATTAATGAATATGCATGAGCTTGTTGCTTAGCAACCACGTCATTTCCGGTTATATGTTTTTGTTGAGCGGGTCCTCGAAGGAATTTCTAGTTTAATTGGTAAAGTAGCACACATTGATGAAGCAATTCTTCACTTTCGGTTTAAGCTTATAAGCTTATTATAATAAGGATATTTTAGCTATTGAATTCATTAAGTAAACATAGACATTAAATAAGAAAGAAATGCACAATTCCATTTGATATTGATTTTCAAGCATTGAAATTAAGTTGTGATACATACATTGTTTATTTATATACTGTAGGCCTACATTATGTACATCCGGCAAAAATCAATAAATCTGATTTTAATCCTCAAAATGTTATATCTTATTATCTTACATGTCTATATTCTTTACAACAAACGGGTTACTTTCTCTATTAATAAGATAAACATTAACAGTAATAATACAATATTAATAAATATAAAGCCTACAAGAATTACTACATAATGGTGAACATTATTTTTGAGATTGCAGGGGAAAACATTTGAAAAATAACATTTACACTATATTGTAATTAATTTAATATCCAGAATTGTTGCAAGAAGCTTGATGAGCGACGATTTTAGGCTATCTATGAATAATTGGTAAGTTCTGTTGCCCTTTTACGAGTGAGTCTGGACGTTCTTTCCTGATAGTTGTGGCTTCGTTGTCTACATCACTGGAATAGAAAAATATTGAGAAAATATTAGGAAACAGAAAAAAAATTATAACGGAGTAGGCCTATCATCAAAACATAATATACAAATAAAAACAGAGGCAGAACCAATAGGTTTCAAATACAGTGGCCCCACGGGGAGGTACTTTGCCAGATGAGGGGTTCCCACTACGTCAGCCCCACCATGGTTGGAGCTGAGGTAAAAACCTTTCGATTGGCACCTCTAGATGGCCAGAAATGGCACTCTCAGATTTTAAATTTGAATGTAACTTTCTTTTTATCTCCAATTTTTTACCAATTTAAAAGATTTAGGCTGGGGGTGGGGCAGGCCGGTTGGCACCCCTGCCCCAGGGGAGCACCCTAACCTGAATATTATTGTATTCAGTTATCGCAATGAAAATGCTGCAGATACAACATAATAGTACTTCATAATTCTTATCATATCAGCATTATCATATCAAATATTAATTATTTATAGTATCATCATACCACGGAAGGATGTAAGGATTATTAAATACATTGGATTGGGTAGGAATAGTAGATCTCAATAGCGAAAACAAATTATAATAGCATTCCGATTGTCATGGGTAAATTAAATTTATAAAAAGTGTACTATTCGATAGAAATGAATATATAGATTCAAAAATACAGTATATTCAAACAATAAACATAATACTATATCTATAATCTTCATACAAACATTTTTCATGATATAATATTTTTTGATTGATTGACTGAATATATTCGATGCTCAACATGCATAAGCAAGATAACAAATGGATTGAGATCAAGGAAAGTAAAAATTACCGTAATGAGCATCAGGAACTCCCATTAGGCCGGAGTCCACCCATATCCAATGAGGTCCAATTTAAATACAGTATACATTGTCTGTCTTGTACGGAAGCACCTAAGTGCCATTCGACTTGACGACTTGTCAAGATAATTTATGTTGTCAAGTCGACATAATATACATATCATGTCGACATGGCGAGATAGATTATCTTGACAAGTCGTCATAGTAAAAATTGTATGTTGTCATGGCACGATAGATTATACTGACAAGTCGACATAATACATATTGTATGTTGTCATGACAAGATACAATTTGTATTATATCGACTTGTCAAGATAACCTATCTCGTCATGACAACAAAACATTTTTAGTATGTCGACTTGTCAAGATAATCTATCTCGCCATGTCGACATGATAAGTATATTATGTCGACTTGACAACATAATTATCTTGACAAGTCGTCAAGTCGAATGGCACTTAGGTGCTTCCGTAGCTTGAGCTGAAATATAAACAATTTAATTCCATAACTGAATAATTATATTTAAGTAAGTTACAAACTTACAATTAAAATATATGAATGACAAAATAATTTTTCTGTCAATTAACAGACAGTTAAATTATACCACTGCTATATTCTTATTTATACATAGACTCTTAAATTGACTGGTAGTGTCCATTTAAGGATTTTGTAGTAAAATGTTCGTAAAATCAGGAAAAATGAGAAAAATCTCGATAGGGAGTCCAACAATTCTGATTGGGTCCTAAAACAAGGGGATGCCAAAACATTGTTCAGGGTCCCGGAATAAAATCCCTGGGGTAAGGTTCATGGGGAGAATCTTACGGTACAGGATCGCCCATGTGATTTCTGAGCACAATTGGATTGGCTATCAAAATATATTTGTTTGGCTAGACAAATTAATGGTGTAGAACAGGGATTTAGTTAAGATGGCGCATGTGTACAGCCGACTTTTTAATTTTAAGCATGAGCTAAGCAATATTGATAAATTTGACCTAAGCAAAAAAAAAAAAAAAAAAATAAAAAAAAAAAATGGACTTAAGACAATTTTAAGCCGATTTCTAGCTTGATAACTAGGGCCCCAGCATACCAACTTATGAGGAGTAGCCTATATAAGGACAGGCTGAGGTTATTTAATTTATTCCCTTTGGAGGTCAGAAGATATGTTAGCCGTGTTGTACTTTTTGCTAAATATTTCTCCTCTAATTGCCCTACAAGTGTGGCATATCCTTTTTTTCAAATCCCATTGATCCCTCTAATCAAGGACTGTTAGGACTACATTATTTTAAATAATCTGTTTTCATTAAGGCAGCTAAATTGTAAAAAACTCTTCCTCCTAGAGCCATTTTCTGATAAATGGTCTGTTGCCTTATCTTTTACTGAAAACTGGGAGCCCTCTTGCTAACATTGTTTTCAAATTCAGGCTTTTTTGTATTTTTTAACTTTCATGTATGAATTACATTTTATCTATGATCAGTGGACCACTTTTGGTGTTAGGCCTTGCCCATGTCTTGATCTGCACGCGCCAAGTAATTTCATCCATTACATATTATCCATCTATATGTCGAACTGGTAATAAATAAATAAATAAATAATAAGTAAATAAATAAATAAATAAATAAATAAATAAATGAATGAATGAATGTATGAATGAATAAATGAATGAATAAATGAATGAATGAATGAATAAATATCCGTGCACACATGGCCACATAGAGAGAGACGCTCAGCCATGTACGGCTCATGTTTGGTTTTTAAAATGTATTGCAAATGTATTGAAAATGTAAATGTATTTCACGTTTCGACTTTCTTTTGGAGGGGCTCTTAAATAGATACCGGAAAATGTTATTCATATTTAAGTCGTTTCCGGCCATCTAGTGCATGGACCATTGAGGTGACATAATCATAAATCCATATGTGAAAGTACCCCCTGGATCCCCTCTATTTCAAATTTCTGGATCCGTCACTGCAGTAGTAGCTTTATTTGATATCGACATCATTGAAGTACATATCTATGAAGATATCAAATCAATATCAATAAAAATCATTGTCATCATTTGGGCCTACCCGATCACTGTCGCAGTCCTTTAAAAATAATATAGAAAATATTATTGTCGGGTATAACAAATTTCGATTATTCATGAATAAAAGTTGTGTACCAGATAATTATAAGTCCTTGGTAATAAATTGCATATATTGTCAATGAAAAACAGATACGAATCTACAATTTAAACAACGAACGGAAGTTAACAAGCCCCAATCTGTAATTGCTGTAAATAACGTTAGCCAGTTTGAAGTCTTTGGTGGTTTTAGCTAGTCACTTGGAATGTATATTGTTGAATAGAATGCAGCATGTCAGTACATGCTTCTGTCGAGGAAATTTTCAATGCCTTTAATGTGGCTGCCTAACAAAGTAGTGGTCAAAATAATAACCATAGAATGATGACAAATTCCTATTTAACTAACTGTACTCACATTTGTTATTAATTGTAAAGTCTCCTTCGTAGTCCATTGGGTAATATTTATATTGTATGTAAAACGCCACCTGAGGCTGTATAAAAAAACAAATAATTATTCTTTTCCTAATGTGCCATTCATTTATGACGATGAGGGTGGTGATGATAATAATAATAATGATGATGACGATGATGATAATGATGGCGGTGATGATTATAGGATAAGAATCACTATAAAAAAAAAACGACTCTGATGGAATCAGATGTAGGCTGTCATGCGTCACAAAGGTACTAATGGTCAAGCCGGTCCTAATTACTTGCACTCTAAATTTATCACCCTTTGAAAGTGAGGGACATTCATTTGTGTAAAGTATGCATGTGCTATATTCCGGCAGAGGAGCCATTTTGTTCAACCATGGTGTTGTGTCCGCCCCTTGAGGGGGCCGGGTAGTGGCTGCACCGGTTACCAGTATGGGCGCAGATCATAGGGAGACGGGAGACACGCCCCCAAATATTTTTAAGGGGGTTTTGGTCCCACTCACTTTTCGACCAGAATGTAATTTCATAAGTAAATTAGATGCCTGCAAGTTGTTAAAATGAACTGCATAAAAAAGACCCAGGTTAAATTGGCTGATAGTGTCAACTTAAGGATTTTTGTAGTAAAATGTCCGTAAATTATGAAAAATTGTCGATGATGATGTTGATGGTGAAGATGATGATAATAATCCCTGGGATTGGAAGGCGATTTTCCGAATAAAGTTTTACTAAATAACTTACGAATTATTGTCTTCATTTGTCATTCAACTGTCATTTTATCTATTTTCTGTGATATTAGGCCCAACATTCTCAATAATCTATAAATCACCCACATAGCAATGTAACGTTGGATCGATCAGTGGGGACGCCATGGTGACGCCGGTAGGGTCAGTTTTCGTCGGAAGGTATCAAAATGATAAACAATTTCATCACACTAATTCATTTTCATCAGAAGCTATCAAGATGATAAACAATTTCATTGGGCTAATTTATTGCTTATATTAACTCTGGTTTCAAATGAAATAACCGACAACTTGGATTTCTATCATTGTTTTAATAAGTCCATAAAACTATGTCACAAATACTGTATGTATACAAAAATGCACAGGGACACCACACAGTTTTTGCATTTTCATTGAAATCTGTATGACAATGGTATGTCTAAATATATCTTACATACGTGTTTTAGCAAGTACTGTATGTTTATATTTGTTATATTTTTGTTGTTCTATTATTCCAGCAGTTTTATTACATCATGGACTCTTTTGATCTAGCTTGTTACCATCATTTTAGCTGTTTTATAAAAAGTTTTGGGCTGTAGTGGCTAGTTTTATAGCATCATTTGAGCTGTTTTATCAGGTCCTGGGCTATAGTGACTTTCGTAGCATCATTCTAGCTGTTTTATCAGGTCCTGGGCTCTTGTTGCCAGCTTCATCATACTTGGTTGGTCTTCATGTATTTGGACCTCAAGTTCATTAATTTCTACTTTGATCTACAAGGTAACATATCAACTTAAAATATAAATATCATTTAAAAGGATAAGGATGCACATGTGGTGGTTAGCATAGACATATGGAGACTCTTAATTGGAGATTATATATATTATATATAGAGTACTACAGTGTTACGTCACAATACCATGTGATACTACTCCGTTGTTATTGGCGACACAAAATGCGTTCAATTGGACAACATTTTCTCCACTTACAAACCATTGATCCCAAATTCTAACATAATTATTAAGATGATGTATCTTAATTTTTCTTTGTGTATATTTATTGATGATTTAATGTGTTCGATAACAAATATAATGCAAGCTTTTGTTTTTAGTACATTTTGATGGTAAATTATTAGGTTTTAAAATGCCTATGCCAGAAAGTCTATTCTGAACCATTGAGATTATGAAGTCATTCAGGCGTAATGAACGGTGTTGAATGGTGAACCTGGTGTTGTGAGACACGACTGTTGTACTCTATAAAAGTACAATATAAAATTAAACAATGGAATGTCTTCCAGACGTTACCTGTTCTATTTCATCGATGACATCTTGAATTTGGAGGTCATCATCGCAACCTGGCGAATCTTTAGGTTGATCTTCAAGGTATTCTGTCAGCTGTTTGTTTTGTTCTCTTAACAAGCTTTAAAATATCAAAACAATATCAGAATGATAAACAAGAACAAAAGCAAAACTCTCAAATTTAAGAAAGTGCTGAATTAAGGCAAACCATTACTGAGAATCAACTTATTTCTTATTTCTAATTCTAGAAGCATTTAAAATAAAACAAATTTTGATTTAAAATTCTTCAATAATTTGTTAATATTTTAAACAGTAAACTTAAGCAGTAAATGGCCAATGTGAAAACAAACTACATTTATCAGGAAATAGATTATCAAGGGATTCTCACTCGTGTACTGCCCAGTTCACCACTGGAAGAGGCAGTGTGGATTTTGCAGGTCTTCCTTTACCCAGACCAAATTAATCAACACCAAAAATCGAGCACCTTTACTGTTTAAATGCAGATCAATTTGAAATGTTCAGAAGACTAACCTCATTCTTATTTTTAGTTGTTGGAATGTTTTAAGCCGATCTCTAATGTTCTTCAATTCCTGCTGCAAGGTCATGCCCTTTGCTAGAGCTTCACCCTGCATAATACTCTTCCCAGATTTGAACGCATTTGGTGGCAAAAGAACCACTCCAGATTTTGGCTGAGGAAGTTTTTTGGTCATATCTGGCGAACCTTCTTCATGTAAGCTTGATGCCCAAGATGGACTAGTTACTTCAAATGATGTTCGTAGTGGGGGTGTAACTGGTCGATGATGTAGTGCAGGCAAACCAGCTGGTTCGTCATCTTTACCAGCTGGTCCTGAATCATCTGAAAGTGACAACACTAATGGTTTTATCTGTTTTGCTGAAAGAGTTCTCTCACCGGTACCAGCCCGATGATCATTTGTCTTATGAGTAGGAGGCTTCATAAATGCTGATGGTGGTAAAAGCAAGGGTTTATTTGCTGTTGAGGTTGGTACAGTTGGTAGAGTATTACTAGTATCTCTCTTAGGCAGTGGTCTCTCTTTGATTACTCTTCTTGGTGTTTTCACAAGTTCTGGTGTTGGCAAACTCTCAGATGTCTTGGCTTTGCGAACACCTCTATCTCTTTTATGGGCAACATCTGTATTAGGCAATTCTTTTTGAACAGATTTGAGTTTAAGATCTGTATCTTGTATATATTCCACAAATGGCAACACATTTAGGCCAACTGTAGAAAGAGGCTGTTCCACTGAATCTCCTACATGCTGGATTTCTTGCATCAACTCACTAATGCAAGGAGAAAACAAAAAACAAAAACAGAAAAACAGAAAAGTTTATATAATCATTACTAATATGATTGCTATAATAATGATAATGTAAGTCTTATATAGAGCATAATACAAAAAAAGAATATTGCCACTACTATATGCACTTTACATGAACAAAAAGAAATATAACCATGAAATATCCTAATACTGTACTGCAAAGAAACAATGAAAAAAGCAGGATTTTGCTGTATGTCATATCAGATAATAAAAACCTTTCAATTACATGCAGTAGGTGTGAATTGCAGGGAAGCAAATTGAGGACATTCAACTGTTAATGATCAACAAGAACTCCTAGCCAAACACCACCCCCATCCCCCCAAACAGAATCTTACTTTGGTCCTTGTGTTCTAGTGTTTTGCCAGAGTCCTTCCTTCTGTAGAGATTCCATTAGAAAGGCTGGTCTTCGGGGTTGAGGGCGATTCCTCTGTTTGCTTGACAAACCTGATAATAACCTTAAAGAGAAATAATAAAACTGTTTATTATGATTTGAATGTGGAGGTCATCTAATTTTTGGTTAATACTGCAAACAGTGGATGAGATGAAAGGGATATTGGTCGCAGACTGATAGCATAAAAACATCACTGGAAGGACGTCTTTGGGATTGACAGGAAAATGAGTTCAGACTTTCAGTAGTACGTGTGGTGATATTTAGGAATGAAGCCCTGTATTCTATAAAAAATTAATCTTAACAATACCTGTCTATGGATGCTAAGCCTTCATCCTGGGCTGGCTTTGGCTTCACAGAAACCTGCGGCTCAGTAGATGACTGCTTTGGATTTGGCAGCAGCATTTTGTTGCTCTGCTTTGCTTGAGGTTTCATAGAGGGCCCATGAGGAAGAACTCTTTTTGCAAGGGTCTTCTGCCTCCATTTCATTGCACAGCGGTGAACAAGCTGGTATGATGTAAATGCATTCTGGTGAAAAATACAAAATGCAAATCCAAATGAAAATCTCTTCAATAAAATTCACACTGCTCACATTATGTTAAATCCTGGTGCCACTACTGTTCGACACCTGGAGTAACAACTCTTTAAGTGATCATGCCAAAACCTTTTTTTCTTTTCTTTCCTTTAATGTTTTTCTAATCTAACAACTTTAATCATATAACAATATTGTTTTATATTTCTGTAAAAATGTTCCTAATGTCCAAAAATAAATGTAAACAAACTTCAACTTGTTGTCTGGCTGCAAATCTTTCTCTTTCACTGGCAAGATACGACGCAACTCTCAACCACTTTGATGCCCCTTCCTTCAGTAACCTTTTACGTCTTGATGCCATGGCCTCTACAAGACGAGCTTGCTTCCGTTTCTTGTCAGCAGTGTATGTAACCCATGCCAGGAGTACCTTGCGCTGAAGAACTAGGCTCCATTGCCAGAGTGCTGTGTTGGATTTTGCTTGTTCTCCTACAGACAGATGGTACTAAATAGGATACAAAGTTGAATACAGGACACTTGATATTATACACTGTTTTTCTGAAATGCAGTGTGGTCAAAACTTAGCATTAGTCAGTTCAAAGAATTATTACTACTGTACTGCCATCGCCTTTCTGCATCATTTTTATCCAAAAGAAAGAAGAAAGATGATTCTATACTGTATAGATAGAATAAATTTTATTCAACTTGAATGAAAAAATCACTTCAGGAAATAACATCATTCACTAGTTAACACAAAGCAAAATGGTCAAAAGCAAGCAGTTTATTAGTACCAATCTCCTACTACGCTACTACTACTATAGTATTACCTGTTTCCACCATCTTTTAAATCCAAACGAAAGTAGTCTTGTGTTGTGAAGCCAGATACTTTGACGATGCAACAACTAGAAGAACAGCACATGAGTGAATAAGGATGCTATACATGGTGGTTAGCATGGATGTACAATGCCCAGAGATGGACAGCTCTTGTATTCTCAAGGGATGTTAATGTTGTAGGGTTCTAATACCATATGGCATACTGATTTTAATAATTCAAATAAATTAGTGAAGGGAAACTTAGCATTTATGAGTATATTCATAAAAAAAACATAGAATGAAATATAAATACAATGGTATGCTTTCTTACAGCCTTCCTTAACTGAATGCTGTTGAATTCCTTCCATTGCTCCATCACCTTTCGCTTCATCTTGCTTTGATAATGAAATCTGGCTTTGCTGTTTAAATAGCATTTGGTCTGTTTGATGGCAGTGAAGGAAACCCAGGCTTTAAACACACGCTTAAGTTTTCCTGCAAAGATAATACCATATTATACTTTGTGTTCATAGGCAAGGCACTTCAACTTCCTTTACGCGTCTCTCTCCACCCAAGAGAATGGGGCCATAGTAAGATACTGTGAGAATGAATGTATTGGTCTAATGCACATTACACTGCACTGCATCTCTGAATACAGGCCTGAGGTTGCATGTTGTACTTGCTTGTCAGTAGGGATTTGATGTCCAGGTGTGCAATGTTACAAGGAATTTGACACAGATGCAGGATTGTAAACAGCAGAATTTAAAAAACCCATAAAAGCACTCTTGTTCCCAAAAAAAACATAATCCTTCTTTCTTATCATAAACCTTTTCCAAGCACCTTGTATCCAATGGCAGAATGCTGCTATATAAATTTATAATTAAACAAATATTGGATGTCCATGTACCTGTTCGTAGCTTACACTGCAGATGTTGAATTCGGCGCTCTTCCTCATCTCTACATCCAATATGGATAATTGCGTAGTAGTTCCATCTATTAAAAACCTATAGAAAATCACATCAAGAAACGCTGTGATACATGTGTAGTGCTATTTCTGTATTTGATAATCATGCCATAGAGTAATTATTTAGTTTTATTTAAAAAAAAAGCCCCCAAATTTAACATGGGTGATCTTTTCAGTAGACCTAAATAGATCATTGGCACTGTTGTTTATCACAATATCATCCTAAAACTAGGGAATTGCATTACAGCATAAATATGATACTTTATAAGCTAAGCAAACACAGGAGGATTTATCTTTACTCCTAAATATCGAGACATTATCATCTTATGTAACATATCAATTGTTTGATTGATTTATTCATTTATTTATTGACTGATTCATACTCACAGTAGACTTCAATTTTACTGCATGGTATTTTTCAGCTTTCTGTAACTTCAGTCGATCTTCTATCAGCTCTTGGGTAGTATGATGCCATTGGTGGAAGAGTTCCCCAAGACGTCTCTTCTCAACTTTTGACTTTTTCTTGCTTGCTTCCATATGGATAGCAATCACTTCATTATTATAGGTCTATGGAAAACAAAACAACTAAATCAACAACTTGCACAAATGTTTTTAATCATGTGTATAAAAATTTCTATATAAAAAAAAAAAATGTTTGTTAGAATCATGATTAGCCATAAAAGACAAAGAAATTTACATACTTTCAGTTATGGGTAACAGGGATACAATAGACAATTACAAACCTTCCATGCGTCTACAACTTTCCTCAGGAGACACTGTTGATAGAAAACTTCAGCCATAGCCATTTTGTGACCTTTCACCTGCTGCTTAGCAACATACATTCCCCATGCTGTCCAAGCTTTCTTGAGAGTTTGCTGATTATTGTGTTTACATGCTACTAGGCCTTGTTCATGACTAGACAATGATGAAAAGAAACCCTTGGTAAATGAATTCTGTAAAATCTTTAAAAATACAAAGAGTACCCATAAATTAATAATCAATTCCGATATCTGAATGGTGAGGTATCACTAAAAATCGAGATTTTTTGATATTCATGACTAGACAAAGATGAAAAGAAACCGTTGGTAAATGAATTCTGTAAAATCTTAAAAAATACAAAGAGTACTCATAAATTAATAATCTATTCCGATATCTGAATGGTAAGGTATCACTAAAAATCAAGATTTTTTGATATTTAATGATCTTCAAAAGTTAGACACGGCCCACCTGCTAGTTGCTAGTTTCTCACCTTCTTAATTCAGATTTTGTAAATAACTTCCAGGCCTTCATCATCTTCACTAGAAGATTACAATAATAATGTTGTAAAGCAGTCTGCATTTTCTTTGTCTCTTTTATTTTCTCCTGTGTGCCTTTGCACCAGACTCTGAGGCTTCTACGGATGAGTTTCTCATCACGATGGAGAATAGCCTAAAATTTATATTTAAAAAAATAGGTATCAGATGTGAAAAGACTCTTGGTTATAGATCAAGGGTGAAAAAATTACCAGCTTAGTTGCATGCATCTTCCTCAATAAATATGGCATTGATCTAAAATTTGGTTGTGTAGAATGAGGTAGATTACCATTCGTTCCATCATCCTGTAATCTTGACTTGCTCGATACGTAAACATCCACCGATAAAAAGTACTTCCAAGAAGACATTCCCTAAACAAAAAGATGAGAGGATATTAACAATTTAAGTGTCAGACTCACAAGCAGTAGTTGTGTGTATCACACAGCCAACAACAAAAATTAACTTTGAACTACAATAGTAAAGAATTCCGCCTGACTTACCTTCGAAAGTCTTGTGAAGCCGTCACTCGTTCCCGTTTTTCTTGCATCAGTTTAGCAAATTGATGCATATGCCGAAGACATTTTGGGAGAACTTTATAAGCAAAGAATGCATCAGCAGTTATGTACTGACTCTGTAAAGACAATTTAAAATATGGTACTTATCACCCAGATCATTTATGGAATGAATGTGCATAATGGTCATGCTGCAAGCAAGCATCCTGGCAAGAATAAAAATTGAGCAGGCTAGACTGTATATTTTCCTTGACCTTTGACATAGTAATGGCCAGTTGAATCTACAAAAAGGCTTATTGTGAATAGGTCAATTCCAAGTTCAAACCGTCCTAGGTCAATTGACATTAACAAGTATACACACAACATAGGCTTATGTCGATTGTCATCGACTGACCATGGATATGGGCATGCACAGTTTGAACCACGAATTGGCTTATTGAGATGATGAATTGTAGAGGACACTATGGGCAATCCACTCCCAATTATGTTTTTACCTTGCGGTGTTTTCTCCAAGCAGTGTATCGCTGCAGAATAGCCACAGACCTTCCTAAAGTTTTTATCCTATGTAGCAAAAATAGAAGGTTTTATCAATCAACTAATCAATCAATAACTCATTCATTTCTCTTTGATTTCACCATTCATTCATTCCTCCATTCATTACATTGATCATTTATATAATCATTTATTAATTTATTGATTCATTCATTCACTCATTTCAAAAATCCTTGTAGAAGGTAATCTTACAATATCTTCTTACCTATAATGATGCCATGCTTTCCGTGACTGAGTGATAAGCTTCAGTTCATCATTTTCATCACATCGCTCCATCCATCGATTCCAGGCTTTTTTGGTAAGCTGCAAAATACAACAAATATAAAACAATATGCTAAAAGCTACATAAAGTTGAACAGTGTAGCTAGGTGATAGAATATGTCTCAGATTTCTGATACTTACAATTGTTATCCTAAAGTCCTTAGCGATCACTTCCCGATGATTTTTCTGTTTACGATCTTTCACTGCATGTTGGAGTGATGACAAACCAACTCGCTGAAATTTTAAAAGATTCAAAATTATGTGTTCATGTTTGGATATTTGAGACATAGACGCTGCATACCAAATGATTGTAATGAACAGCATATACCAGAATACACAATGTGTAGAAAGCTTATATTTATAAACAACACTTGAACTTATTATTTTTTAATTTACTAAAATAAAAACAATACAGTATTACAATAATTATTAAAAGAGCAAAACCCAAGGTCACCACAACTGAAAAAATTACATTTAATTAAGAGTGGTCAGTGGTCCACTTACTAATAACCTGGCTTGGTAATGCCCATTGGCTAACTGTCTTTTTGCTGCTTTCTCTTGCTTCACTGATATGTCTGATTTATAGCAAAGAGTAAAGGAATGTAAAAGACTTGGGCAAGGAACTTTTGCCAGGAGCCTGGAATTATTGGGTCAGCATCTTGATTATCAAGCAACACTACCCTTCCTTGTCTAATTAACAAATATATATTTGATTAGAGCATTTATCATTCTTAAAGTTACAATTTTTCAATAAATGTAATTCTTCAAAAAATCATTTAATTCATTATATTTTCAGAAAAGGATACAGAATTTCCAATGTGTCAGTATTCTCCTGAGCATTGCACTTTTACCCATGACCTGTATCTGATGGCTCTTCTCAGCCATGATCTTCTTAGTGTACCATCTGGTATGCCAGTGATGAAAATGCTTTGCCGTCAAACGTTCCATATAGAAAGTTACACCAGTTGCTATTAGAAAAAAATAACTTATATTATAAAAAATATAACAATAATAAGACTTTTTTTGCTTCAGCAAAACCTGACGCTCGCCAATAATAATGATTTTGGAATAAAAATAACATTTTTTGCAAATTAGCGCACACGCTGCCACAAAAAATGGAAATGCCTGCCTACTGCTGCCTTGAAATCTCCAAAAATAAAATGTACTGCATATTTCTTCCTAATTATACAAATTTAAATTTCACAAAAACAAGGTATAAAAAAAATTCTCGACTAATGAATAATGATATGAATAATGATGATGACAATGATAATGAATTGAATAATGATGATAATGATAATGACAATGATATACATTGTATACCTGTTCCTTTTTCTTCTCCATCCTGTACATAGTGTTAAGGTAGGAAGCCTTGATGATGACAATGATAATGAATTGAATAATGATGATAATGATAATGACAATGATATACACTGTATACCTGTTCTCTTTTTCTTCTCCATCCTGTACATAGTGTAAGGTAGGAAGCCTTGAAAGAAGCACCTGGCCACAAGAAACTGGTTATGCAACTGAATGGCAACTGCTTCTCTTTCTTTATCCTCTTGTCTTCCTCTCATCCTTAACTTCCATTTTTGCAACATCTAAAGAAATAAATTTCAAGATATTTACATTTACATTTTGATAACAAACATGTGAAGGTCCATCATTTAAATTCAAATTATCTAACCTTATTAGTAAGGCTTTGAGCCCAGTAGTGTAAGGCATATGCCTCCCTATCCTGCACAAATCGTGCTCTCTCAAGTTGGGCCATCCACAGTGCCCACGCCCTCTTTACACGTTTCTGTGAGACAGCTTTGTCAAGGGTTTTGTAGACTGATGTTTTAGCACGCTTGGCGTCATGGTGCTCACGCCAACCTGCAAAAGCTCTACGCAGTATTTTCTGGTCAGCTGTAAAAGAAAATATCAAATAAATTGATATTTGTGATGGTTTGATTGGACATACAAGTGCATAAAGGAACCAAAATTATCAGTTTTACTGAATGGACCATACTTGTTAAAATGACAATTACATAACATTATTTCATTATTACTTATCATTGTTACAATTATCACTATAAATGAAGTTACTAATGCTGACATGAATGTGGGAAAACACACCATGTTTATACGCTAAAGTCATCTTTGCCTTCTTAACCCTCTGAACAATTACATACTGCATCCATGTTACCCAAGTCTGACGCCATAAACGGTACCTAAAATAAAATACAGTGATCAATAAATATTTAAATAATAATTTAATGTTAATTTCCAATACTTTTCCAATGCCCTTCCGTTTAGCGCCGATAGGCTAACAGTGGCCAGGCCTAGCACAAACCGACAGTGCAGCAGCGCGGTCTACCGCGCTAGAGCCTAACTGAATTTACCTTCAATAAAAACCAAGTTGCTGACTCCAACACTCCTGTTCGTCATCATAAACATGTGCACTCAATTTGACGACACTTGCGTTGGTAGTTCTTTGTTCTGGTTAGGTTTATTACATTGATATAGTGATTATTATACCAGAAATGCAAGAAAAGATTTAACTATTAATAAACAAATACAACAAACTTGATGTTATTAAGAAAAATTTACATTATCACTATGTAAAACGTGCGCAATCAGACTTTTTTTTATGGTAATAATTGGTCGATGATGACTTCATCATGGGCAAAGGCCATTCGTAAAATTGACTATTCGTAAAATCGATGTTTGTAAAATGGATGTTTTACTGTATTTTCAAATTCTTTTCCTTGTAACCTTACCTGTTATGACAATCAGCCCGTATCATTAACTTCCATTCCTTCCTTCCAGTCCACCACAAATCTTTCCATTCAGTCATCACTTTTCTAAATAGTACTTTTTTATAATGGTTCCTGAAAAAAATATACACAAAAAAATAATTGAATCTGCAATGTAGAAGAAAGGCTTGTGTGTACATAGTGCAATTGAGGTTTTATAATATTTGTATTCTTTATTCTTTGTATTAATAATATTTACAATAATGTAGTAATAATGTAATTTTTTTGAATTGTATACTTGCTTAGTTTCTACTTTTGTAATAATCATCTCAATTCATTTTACTATGCCATGATGATTTAATAAAATATACCAGAATATATAAACTAAACACAAGTCGCTTTCATAATTTATCACAATTATTAATGCCAATGACACTTTGCAACTTTCTTGAGTATTCCAGTCATGCTCCCTTTATTTGCTAACATACTGCTGTCCTACCAAATTCTCCTCTTACTCCTGTGGGGGGGGGGGGGAGGATGCTTGATGATTAATGAAGGGGCACGTGCTTGAAAATAAGGTGATTTTCAACTACTTGAGCATGATTTTTGTGCACTCCCTAAATGTTCCACTACATACCTGGCTATAGATGGTCTAGTCCTTCCGAAAGAATTCTGAATCCAAATCCATAAGAACTTTCTGGCAAGATGTCTGAAACAACAAATCAACAGAATTGTATACTAACTTGATTGTGAATAATAAATACTATTATTATAACTTTATTCTATCACGGGAGCTTGTCTCACCCAAAGGATGCTAATCGTGTGAAGCGCTTAGAGGCTTTAGGCATGAAGCGCTATAAAGGACTGACATATTATTATTATTATTATTAATTGAAATTATTGTTAATATAAATATTATTATGACCATCACCATTATCTTCATCTATAACCATACCATCATTATCATAATATTTACAGTATACACCTACATAGCCTTCATTATATTTGGCATGTCAAGAACATATAAAATGCACAGCCTACTTTCCATAAAATTATTTTACATTTTTATTTACTTTTTCTTGTTTTTCATTGAAGGACAAGGATATGCCAATCAGCGAACTTAATCACATTAAGTGGCATATCCTTTCACAAGACAAACATAATAAAAGATGCTCTACATAAACTAAGTCTCATGAGGCTTAGGGAGTGTAGATAAGTTGTTTCTAGTAGTCAGAACAAATCCTGTTACCATGACAGGAATTGAACCCAAAACCCTGGAGCTGGAAGGCAAGCACCTAAACCACCAAGCTATTCAACTCCACTCCACAACTTTGAAAGCCTTTAGCTTTTCACACCTGATTCTGATTTCCTTCAGCCTTCCACCCATATTCCATGTGTACCCTGGCCGCGCACGCTGAAAGTGGTGAGTCTTGGTGCTACCGTCTCTTTTAGAAGGTCTCTTGATCTTCCTCTGAGGTTTGCTAGGCTGCATTGTGGGAAATTCTGTAGGTCTACGAACACTAGGTTCAGTTGGTCTGTCATGTGGTAACTTGTGACTTGCTTTATGTTTTTCATTCCTCACACTCTTGCCTTTATACTTGAATGTTGAATGATGATCTGGTGAATCTTCTTGTTGATAACTGAAAAATAAATTTATTAATATAAATGATATTAAACAAAATTATTCATGCAATGGATGCCAGCATTCTATAGTACTACACAAATATATATTTCTACATAGAGATAAATTATTTTTTATTAAAACACTAAAAAACACTTGAACAAACAAATGAGTTATATCTCAAATTTTTTAATATCTTTATGTTAATTCATGTTATACTAATTCAATTTTTCATATAAATATACTAGTTCTTTTTTTGACTGAGAAAGATTAGTTGTCTGTTATGTTCCTGTCTATAGGCCTATTTGATCTTGAAAAGGTTCACACTGCCAAATAAATATTTTTTTTTTTTTTATCCAGAATTAATATCATAAACTATGATTATATTTGTCTGTTTTTAATATTCTTTGTGATTTATATCTGTTAGTTTTATATTAGGCCTAGTAATGTATGTGCAATGTGTTATATTTTGTTGTAAAGTTTGTCAATAATGAATAAATTAAATCAAAGACACTGATTGGCTTAGCTAGTTTGATAATGATATGGTAACACTGTGGCAAATTTTTACTACAGTAACAGTGAATTGCAACAGAAATATGTTATTTATATATTTACATACCTGCTATGTTGTCTAGTGTCAACAAGAACATCTGAATCATGATCACCAGTCGACAGAGATGTTTGCAGATTTTGTTTAGCTCTTTCCAATAGTCTCATTCGCTCAGCTCTCAGCTCAAGCAGAGCTTTTTGCTTCTCTTCGGTATTTGTTGCCTTCTTCATGTTCATGTTTAAACTGTAGGCCTAAGTGAGTCATCTGTTCTCATAAAGCTAATTCAGAAGGAAATAAGACAGGCCAAGACCTAGGCCTATGTAAGTAGACTGATTGACCCAGATCAACTTAGGTTCTCCTATAGGCGGCCGCCTATGATATGAAACCGGAACCAGAGAGTCTCTCATGTCAGGCCTACTAGGCTAGGCCTAGGCCTACGTTACTAAAAATACTAGCGAAAAGTTTCTATCAGTTCCCCTACGCATTGAATAATGACTGGGTCACAATATTATCTTATATATAAATAGTAAGTTATAGGAAGGTAAAACCGTATACCTCCCTGTTAAAACCTTAAAAATATTCGCTAATAAGCTAAGCCCTAGGCCTACATGTTTTCGCTCGAATTAACCGATCCACCATTCGCGCTCTCCGCTCGAAATGGACTAGACGCCGAAGTACATAATATTTTTGGTAATCAATTAACTCTGCCCGTTAGTCAATGTCATTGAACGGCTGGATCATCTTTATGACTTGTTTACTGACTACGTAATCGTTGTGAATGACAACAACAAACATGGCTCTCCGCAGGTGGTGTTTCTGGTGGTAATTCATAAATTGTTGACTTTACTCCGCTTTAAATCGTATTTTGTGAAATATAATTTATTGGTTACAGTTATCGGTCGTTGATATATTATACAGTAGTGCCGATGAAGGAAGAAATTGATTGGAAAATGTCAGATCCAAGCTTAGAAGAAGAGAAACTTCAGGAACTGTATGCCTGGATCGATAATATCCATCTCTCCCGTCCAAAACGCAGTATCACCCGTGACTTTAGTGATGGAGGTATGGACTTCGTGAGGCCTAGCCAAAGATTACCATAGTGGTGTTACGAGGACCATGTCTTAAATGAGGAATTGATAATTGATATGTTCACAAAATATCATTTAGTGCATTATTAATGATAATATCTATTAAGACACAAATCTATAACTTTTATTGAAAGGCCTTAATTTGTATGTTTGTCATATATAATATGCAGTTAACTTTTTTTTTAATGAAAAACTGTGATAATTGATTTAGAAGGGTTCATATATTTTGCCCCAGCCTTTAGTAATTCAGTATGAGAAAACAATTTTGTTTCAAAGGTATTGATAAGTAATTTCATAATTCATGTCAGACATTTTTGGCTGGATGTAGGCCTATTTAATATTTCAATTAAATTTGCTTGTTTAAATTTCTATAGTTTTAACAGCAGAAGTTGTTGCCAATTTTCTTCCGAAGTTAGTGGAGCTTCACAACTATACCCCAGCCAATTCAACTCAACAAAAACAAAACAACTGGGGAACACTGAACAGGTAAGAAGTAATAAAATCTTATCACTATTGTATTTGAACACTACTCTTTTGATATGTTTACATTTTAATTGAAATGATCATTCAAACCACCCCCCACCCCCCCCCCCTCCACACCAAAAAATGTTGTGTTGTGCAAGCACCATAACGTTTGAAAATCAGGTTCGACAATTTTTTTTTATATAATTTTTTTTTTTGTATATTTTGAGAATAGGCTTGATGGAAGCATCTAAAAGACAAAATTTAAAATGAAAAAATTAATGATATTGGCAATCTCTCTAATAGATTTAGGCCTGCCGTCACTCACTCAACCCATACATTATTGTCATAGAATGATAATACATGGCTTAAATCCATGGTTAAGGTATCAATTTAAAGAATTAAATCTAAGAGACCCTTCGATTGCGTTACTGTAAATAATGTGCAAAAAAAAAAAATCAACCTTAGATTTTGGACTATTGCAAGCAGACCTCTTAATCTGTACCTGTTTATTATCAATTTTATAATTATTATTTTGTTTTTTTGTGTGATGTTGTTTCATGGTTCAAGATTAAAGATTCAAAATAAATTCAATGCAAACTTAAGGAAAATTTGAAATGTACATAATAATTAATAGTAATATACAAATATATATGAAACATTGAAAATACTCAATTAAAACTCTTCTCAACATTAAAGTGCAATAAAAAAAATAAAAAACAAATAATAATAATTTAAAGTGATAATATTAAGAAATGTTAAAAAAAAAACTCCAATAAACACATGACAACTTTAAGAGAGAACAATACAATGGCATAATAAAGGAGACAAACAAATAAATGATTATGCTGATTACTGTACTAAAAACTGAATTATGAAAACTGAAAAGAGCCTACTGGATATTTCATTATATTTTTTCATCTGGTGTCTTTGTATATTGCCAATTGTTGTCTATTTTTTATTTATTTTTATTGCATCTTACTTGTATTCATTGGCTAAAGATGTGGTATAAATTCCTGTATTTCCTGTAGTTTGTTTGAACATGAGTAGTACTGTAACTCATTGGCTTGAGGCCATATTGCGTTATTGAGCTTTACAAATATATATTTATAGAAAGAGATAAATCTAAACATTGTCACAGAAAATAGAATAGGTTGGATTTATTTAACAATATTTAAACAAATTTATTTAAAATGCTTATAAATTAAGTTATTAACATTTCATGTGATAAAGATATCAACTAAAATATTATCTTAAATTGATTGTGTTAAAGATTATCAAATCTCAACAACAATTTTTTTTTCAGAAAAGTGTTCTCAAAACTAAATTTTCATGTTCCTGAAAATGTCATAAGAGGAGTGATCATGTGCAAACAGGGCCTAATAGAAATGTTACTATGGCAACTCAAGTTAAAAATTGAGAATTTTATCCGGAAAAGAAACTCCGGTGTTAGTAAGGTAAGAAACAGGATGGAAAAAAGGACTAAATCCCTTAATTTTTTTCTTTTTCACTGTAACATGATGTGATGCACATAGCACCAATGGATTGTACAGTAGGTCTAAAACGACAATGTAGTAACTTCATGTGTAGCTCTACAAATGAATTAGGAGAGCAGTGATGAATCAAACCAGAGACCTCAATTTTTCACTTACACTCTATTTGGAAACTGCCAATAGAAAACATAGATACTGCCCTCTTTTGTCATAAATCCCTCATTTAGCAGAAGTTTTGCTATTATTTTGCAAAAATATCATATTCAATAATTTAATGATGTATGGAATTGAATGAACAATAGAGAATCTCTACTATATTATCATGTTGGTTACATCTGTATTAATATTGAATTTTCTATTTGTTTTCAGATGAGCCCAGATAGTTATGATATGATATCAGATAGATCAGATAAAGGTAAACAAGATCATATATGCTTCAAGGTTTGCATTGGCAAAGTAACAATGTGTTGAATGCTTGCGGTGTACTGCAACATCATATAAAATATAACAGATTGTTGCAATAGACATACAGATAGATTCTTGAACCTTCAGTCAATAATATTGTTACTGTACATTATTTTTTATGTGAAATATAAAATGACAGAAATTTGTTTGATCATTTCAGGCCACCATAAAGTAGGAAAATATCCTGGATCAGTTCCCAAAGGACCAGGAACATTGCCAAATGCCACGTAAGTTATTAGGTTGAGGGCGTATGTGTGACATGCCATCCCAAAACCAGTGTACTATCGCTAATGGTTAAACTGAGTAATTAGCATTAAGAATATAACTTTGGCAATAGTAAGTCGACCCACCATTTTAAAGGTTACATAATATGGAGAATATAGAATAATCTAATTTATTAGAAAGTCATTTTTTTGGCCATTGATGCTAGTTTTGGAATAACATGTCACATTTTATCATGATAATGAAAATGTGTTCAGATCAAAATGCTAGAAAAATAGAAAAGCATTAATTGTATGGAAAAATTGCGAAAAGTACTCTTTGTTTTTTGATGTATTTGAAGAAAGTGCTTTCAATGAAAACTTGTTTGGTTCACAGAAATGCTGCCAGAAGTCGTTCCCTGCAAAATGTAAATTTAGAACCATTGAGTTCTGAAGCCAGATACCTCATAGAAGAAAAGGAACAAGCTCTGCTTGTCTCTCAAGAAACGGTGCAAGTAAGTTTCACTTTTGAAAAATTATTGCTTATTTGATAAATATTATTTATATAGTACATTAGTATTAATATCATCATTATTATTATTACAAATAATAAATGTTTAGCAATATACAAATAGCATTAAATATTTTAGTGTGACATCTCATTAGCTTCACCTGGTTGAATTATTACATAACACTGATTAGTAAATGCGTTTGTTTAAGAAATTCTTTCCTTTATTCTTTCTCAATGGCTGACGAGACATTGTCAGAGCCCCCCCCCCCTCCTTTGGGGAAAGTAAAAGAAGAAAGAAAAAAAAAAAAATTATTGATTGCCCAAAACACCTCAGATGTTATTTTCGGGTGTCTAGAAAACAAAAAATTTGCTGGGTAGTTTTGTCCCACTTTCTGGGCTCCCCTCCCCCTCCATTTTGGAATTGCTGGATCCGCCCCTGATTGTCACAAAAAAAATCAGTTCCATTTGTATCACTTCACTTGATCACTATATTTTTCTTTATTTTGTGTATTTGTTAATATTTCAAACTATGTTAGCATTTTGTACTTTATTATTATTGTGACTATTGCTTATTACTTTTGTCATCGTCGTTGTTTTTGTCATTACTGCTATACTTTTATTATTATTATTATTATTATTATAGTAAATATATTTTTATACACATATTTCAAATATATGATTAATGATCAGAAATAATACTAATATTATTATCAATATTAAATATTAAAATTAGTACAGTGTTACCTACATGAAGATTGTCCTCAGATAAAAATCTAATATTGTCAACATTTTATAATCTTTATTTAGATACTACAAGCGAAGATTCGACGGTTAGAACATTTATTACAGTTAAAAGACATCCGCATCGAGGAACTTGGCAAAAAAATACACCAAATGGAAGGCAGATATTAATTCAAGAAACATGAGTCATGTATGTTGTCATGGATATGTAACTTTAGCCAGGCTCCCATTTTCTCAAAGACTATAAATGACAGAACTTGACACTACATTCCAAGACTTCTCTCATATGAACCACCATCAGCACTTGAGGAGAAAGACGTAATTTGTAGACAGCCACTGTTCCAGCCAGTACATCCTAGACGCCTTAAGTTTCTTATTATTTATTACCTTAGTAATTTATACACATCATTTGTAAATATTTATGATCCAACGATGACTGAAATTCTGATGGGAAAAGGATGTCAATCACCAAATGATATTGTGTGCTGTTCCAGCCAAGGATTTCATGAGTTTATGTCGATGAGAACCCCCCCAGTATTATTTACCCTGTAATTGAAACACATTTATCAGAATGAGGACAAACTGTCTGTCGTCGAATCTGGAAAACACTAATAAATATGTTGAATATTTAGAATGTCAAATAGTGGGGACAAAAATAAATGTTTCCACTAAAGCCAGTTTCTTGGATATTGTTGCTTAAATGTAAACGTATGTAAACACGTGCATTGATGGGACAACACGTGTATTTGGGGGACAGGCGTGTGTTCCTGGCCCTTTTCTGATTGGTCAGTTGTTAAATTTAATTGATACTCTTGAAAATGGTCAACTGCTAATGTACAGGTTTCTTACTGCAATGACCTTGATCTATTCGCAACTTTAAGTCACAGCTTAAGACCTATTTGTTTTCTGGTGGCTTTTCACATGTTTTGCGCCTTTGATCTTGTTTGGAATTGGTGCCATATAAATTCGAGATATTATGATTATATTATTATTGAAATTAATGAACAGTAATGAACAGCCAATTTAAAGGTCTATGCTAAGAATAGTAAGAACTGTAAACACTGTATTTATATTAGTATATTATATGTTAATTATTATTATTATTATTATTTTTCTGTTTGAATCCAATTCTAAGCATATTAATTAAATCTACAAAGTAAGAATTCAAATATGGAAGTATTTTTTTCCGGTTTTGTGATGACGCCACCACTTTTTATAGTCAGAGAAAGTAGCAATAAAACTACAGTATGATACAATAAAAAGTTATAAATATATTGAAGAGAACACACTTGCACTACAACCAGTGGCGTGATACAGATTGTGGAGTATGTTTTTGGATTTCCAACATGTCTAAAATTAGGTTGATTGATTCAATTACGGCGCTATACGTACCAGGTAAAACATACTACTAAACAAATACTTTACAAATGCCAAAGGTTGTCAGACACTCTAATTCAATCACTGCTGAATGAATACTGGCTCACATTACTATAGACATAGGGATTGTCACCAGACCGATTGATTTAAACATATTGGAGAGTAAAACCCACAATATTATATGTTGTTTATCCATTTACTCATACAGTGTGCCGTCAAGTTCGAGACCACCTACAGAAACAGTACAGTTTTGGGTGATTATTGTCTAAGCATGGATTGTTCACAACAAAGAGGATTTTTTCGGGGTGGACACATGGGGATTGGGAGGGGGTGTTGCGCTATTGGGAGAAAAGAGAGATGAAAAAAAGGAAAGGAGAAAGAGGGGTGCACTGTACGCCCAACTTCGACAAAAAAACGTGAGCTACAGGTCTTTATTACACAATATTGGCTATTTTTTCCCCCCACTTTTATTACAGTAGGCCTATTATGTGCGTATACATACATAACAAAATTTGAGTAGTTGCATACGTATTATTTTTTCCATGAATCGATGAACCCCAAAAAGAAAGGGGTCGGGGGTCCTCCCCCGGGAAAATTTTGATTCCTAGATGGCGAGAAATGAGCTTTCCCGGCTTCTAATTTCCCCATTGTAACAAACAAATGAAAAGGTAGGTCTATATTTTTTTTTGCCCAAGGGGAAGGGGAGAGGGTCAGGACCCCCTCTAGATCCACCAATGGTGTATGCATGAGTTTTAATTAGCCATAGGCATTGCTATGCTCTCGATGGAACAAACAAACCAAATATTTTTTAAAAATGGAG